TTGAGTGTCAACAAAAGTAGGTATCCATCTAGCCGCCATATTCTTCATTGAGTCTACTGGAGAAGAAAATATAATTTACTCCATCTCCTTGTTTTGAGAAGCATACAGTGGATTCAATTGGAAATCAATCAATAGTTGATATGTATTCCCTATGAGAAAAATATTATACCCATGGTTCTCAATATCCATATTTAAGAAGACGAAATCAAAAAAATTAATTCAAGAGAAAATTGCAGCAAGAAAATAAACTCCCCCCTTGTCTTGCCTTGTTCTATTCGAAGAGAAATTGTCCATCGTTGCCACAATCCATCTAGCCCATTTGGATGGAAAATCAAAATAAAATTCAAATTAAAGCTGTGTACATACCCGACGGTGCCACAACCTTCGTCGTATCAAGACCCAATCTTTACAAAACCCTAGAACAGAGCATAGTTTTCGGCGAGCAGCGAGCACAGAGAGTATTGTTCCTTTTGTACGCATCTGGTGGCGGAGACATCCAATCGTTTCAAAATCCTAGCCCAGGGAATGGTTTCCAGCGAGCTGTGAAGAGAGAGAGATCACGGTTCTTTTATACGGGTCGAATGAGCGGAGAACCCAATAAAAATCGATTTAGCTTCTCCAATACAATTTTTACTGTAGCTTTGAGCGGCGGGTCGAATGAGTAGAGAACCCAATAAAAAGCGATTTAGCTTCTCCAATACAATTTTTACTGAAGCTTTGAGCGGGAAACTGTTACTGTTCATGTTTTCACTTTAGCTTTGTATATTAATAGATTGCTCTTTGCTTATTCCACCTCCAGCAGTTTTTCCAATTGGACTATTGCTCTTTGTTTATTTTTACTTTTTAAGGAGCTGTATTCCTTTGTTTTTGCTTGAAAAGATGTTAAGTTTTTTAATTTATTGTCATGCTTATTGTATTAAGAAATGCATTGGTTGCATGGTGTATGTTCTTGGACTAATGGACTCTAAATTATGAAGTCATATGTAGTACTTTTTTTACTAGAATTGAAATTTGAATTTTTTTATCTTGGATTCGGTCTATTCGGTCCATACCAGTTCGGTCCAATTTATTTTGGTCCGATCCGGTCCAAAACCGACAACATTTAGGTCCGGTCTTCGGTCTTGATTTTGGCGTATTTCGGTCTTCGGTCCGGTCCGGTCCGGTTTTAGACCGATGAACACCCCTAGAACCCAGTACTGCCAGTAGCCAAACAAGAAAACTATACAAAAAAAATGGTTGGACGGATTAGCCAAATCCGTTTGGCAATTAAATCAATGAAACAGAGTAGCCTACTCCGTTTGAATAAATAATAAAATCAGAAACGGATTAGCTAAATCCGGGTTGCATTATTTAGAAAAATGTATATTTGAATTACATATAAAGGAATGCCTTGCACGGGTTTTACACAAACAGGGAATTCACCCATTTTGGTAACAAAAGTAAAGGTACTTTGGTAAATGTACTTCGTATTTAATATGGATTACTCCAAATTTGTTTGTACGAAGCCCTTCGTTTCTTAAAATGTTTTTTCTTTATTATTTTTGTTTTCTTGAAAATACAAACATTTTCTATTAAAACCATTTTTTATATATCATATCAAGGACAAAATTGGAGAGTCAACTACAAATATACACTCTTTATTTTTCCTAAAAGCCAAAATAAGAATCTTATTTTTGAACGGAGGGCGTACTATATAGAGCATGTTTTATAAATTTGAAACTA